GTGACAAAGATTAATTGCTCCCCGTGATAGCTCTGAACTAGGTCATTGTGCAATAGTACGCCTAAGTGAACCTGCTGGAGTATTTGAAACTACAGCTGTGCCGTCAGGTTCTCTTGTCAGGACGCTGCCTTACATGGCATCAAAAGTTGAGCTCTAAGTAAGAAAAAAAAATGTGATTGACGTTGTTACCAGGCCCTAAGGACAATAGCCAAATGTTTCACAGCACGTCGTGGCAAAGAAGTGTGAAACATCCCACGTTGTCTAGAAATTAGGGAAACATTCACAGAAGACAAAGAATAGAAGCCAATGCTCTAATACAATCCACTTGCGATAAATTTGCAAGGATATGAGCAATGCAACTGGGTGTAGTATCGGGTGACATACCACACTGTGCCCCTGCATCTGTTTTTTCCTTGTCTCAGTGGATAACTGTGAGGGATTACACTGGGTGGTGGAAGATGGCCTGACCGCATCTCCGTCATCTTGAACTTCCCATACTGCAACTATTAAAGACAAAAACCAAACATCAACGACCTGCCCAATAACTGAATCAAAGCTTTGCAATAACTACAAGAAATGCAATTCAAAGCAGTGGCACGCTTCCCTGCAGTCGAGAGCAGAATGTCTTATTGCTTTTGTCTGGGAGTCTGGGTCATCCAATTACATTGACACTGACAAATTAAGACAGAGCACAAACCACTACACGTTCCGCAGAGTACCTTTCATATTCATGCATACACCAGAGATATTTCTGAGGATGATAAATTATCTCACTCAAGATATGGAAACCGAAGACACCCAAGAAAACCCACAGGAGGAAGAGTCAGCTCAGGTCAAAAGATCCCTGAAGCTTTTTTAGATTAGTTAAGAAGGTTTAACGCGCTGGGGATGTCGTTGCCTTCTGCACTGAAGCCTTCAGGAGACAAATTGCGTACAATGGATGGGCCTGGTTGGCAGAACATACATTTTTGTGTCACCGGTAATCCAGAATGAAGAATAGGGTGTATCCCCCAGGCTTGGGCAGGCAGTCTCACGCTGGAGCATACGAGGACTGGTGGGCTTCCTGCAACCACAGAGATCACAGCAGTGATCAAACTGCTAATGTTTTCAAATTCTTGCTGAACAAAATAGGGAAAAGTTGCAGAGAGCACCTGGCAGTGGTGCTGTACGGCTGTCTTAGTGGGAAATTGCTGATTGTATTATATTACACTTTTTGTGTTTGATGGGTACGGAGAGGCAAATGGAAGTTGGGCCAGAGCTTTTAGTCAGAGTGCTCCTCTCTTAGACTTCTACATGTGAATGATAAAGCAACCTGGTCGAAGACAGCTTTGCATAGATAAAACTGCGCCTGTCATAAAGTCTGCAATGCTAAAAGTATTCCTAAGTTATTTGCTTTGTTCCATATCTGATCCCAGCTGACTGAGAAGAGCAACAACGGGAGTTTCACAGTACCCCGCCCAGACTCTCTTTGAGGAGATCAGTCCTGTAAACCATAGGATCAGTGTGAGCAGGGATTATTGTCTATATATGATCATATAAATGCACAGATTAAAAAAAAAAAAAAATTCAGACTAGAAATTGTTGACACTGTTGTATAAATAAAAACCAGCCACCTGCAATAAGGCCTTACCCATCGCCAGTTGTGCAGTGGGGGCAAGCAGGACATCCGTTCCCCAGTTCTGTAGCTGCCTGGCAGAACAGGGCTTGGGAGCGCGGAGGAGCTACCGCTGCCTGGGAGGAAGGGAGTGCCTGGCATCAGTCCCCAGGAACCTGGTCTGAATCGGATCGCGGAGCCCTGATTCAGCAGGTTGGACGGGGGTGTGAAGCAGGAGCTGGGGCCTCGGCGCCCTGCACTGACGTGGGAGGCCGCTGGGAAGGCTCCGGGGACGCCAGTGACACACGATGGGGAGCCAGGGGGATGCGGCCGGGGCCCCCGCGGGCTCGGACCTGGCTGTGGGGCGCTGGTGTGCGGGGCGGGCAGGGGTCCTGTCTGTGGGGAGAAGGCCCCGGGGGGCCCACGGCCACGGCCAGGGTTTGTCTTCCCCCATCTGTATTTGCCCACATGGAGCAGAAGACAGGCAGGCCTGCACCGCGGCCTCCCGCGCCCGAGGACTTGCCCGCCAGGCCTCTGAGGGCCGCGGGGCCTGCCCGGCGGGAGCAGCCCGCTCATCCCCGCTGCCGCGCCCCGGCCCGGCACTGCGCCGTCCGCAGCGCCCGCCTGGCCTGGCCGGCGGTCACCCCGCAGCAGCAGCTACGGACCAGTCTTCGCACAGGTATTTTTAATTGGCATTTTTGCTTTTCCATGTATTTTTTTTTCTAACCGTTACGTTTTGAGCTTACAAACTCAATTCTCAACTGCAAATCCCGCTTGCTTTATTTAGATGAAAACCAGAACGCTAACGTTTAGAAATACAAAGTTGCCAGTACTCGACAAACACCCTCCTTTAAATATGTAGGCTTGCAAAAATGAAACTGGCGCCCCTGTATTTTGTAGAGCTAAAAATGACACTGGTTTCAAAGATATGAAGCATGAAAAGAAATCAAATGTAGAACTATAAATAACTCAGTTTTCACTTGTACTCCAGAAACTCACACAGCTTTCTACATAGGTAGCCACTAGGATACCAACTTCTTTATCAATGACCAAATGCAGTAACAAGTTTAAGAATTTCACAGAAAGTCACTGTATCACTAGGGTTTTTGGTTTGTTTTTTTGTTTTTTTTTTGTTGTGTGGGGTTTTTTTTGGGGGGGGAGAGGGGTTAGGGATTTTTTTGTTGTTGTTTTCTAATTAGGGACAATAGTTTCAAAAACACGCTTTCTCATCTCTTATGAATTTATGGGTTTTCTATTCATAGCCTTGGTTTTCCCTCTTCCTGCCTTTCAATGTATCCAATTTGTATCTCAGTTTTCTGACTTCAAACTGATCACAGGACTTACAAACTACACAAGAATCTAACAAAGTTTCCCTTACCAATATTTTTAAGTGTTTTGCCTTCCCCATATTTTAGGATGGATGTGCAGGTAAACCAGAAGGGATAGTAAATAACCCTGTTTCGAACAGGGTCACTAGTTTAACACCTGCAAGTTCGAGACAAGACCAGCCCCCATTGGACTCAGACTCCCGAGTATGATACTGGATGATCTTTGTGCTCCATCTATCTGGCATGACTGCTGCTATGCAACATTTTCATGAAACTTTATTGTTAAAATGCAGGTTATTGCAGCAAGTATGTACTTTAGCACCTAATTGATCTTGATTTGTTCTTCTTCTTGCAGATTTATTTGTTTCATTTTTAAGTGTGGTGTGGCTTTCTGGATACTTCCACCACCAGCAGATGTTGCTTAAGGGAGAAGCTGGACTTCCTAGATCCATCTGTCATCAGTGTTCACCCAAATGGTTCTCTGGGGATGTTTCTGTTACTGGTGTTTCCATGAAAGCAGGCTGATGGCTGGCTGCACAATCCCCAGCCAGGAAGTCCCCTTGGCTGCTTTTCATCTCGTCCCTTTCTTCTGACAGGTCCAGCTTTAGTGGCCGACAAGGAGTCAGGCCTCCTCCTGGAAGATCTTCTGAGTTCACTGGAGACAGTCACGCAATCACGCTGTGTCAAAATACAGTGAGAAGCAGAGGAATGTGGGCAAGAGAAAATTCTGTATAAGCTATCATTAAGACATTAACAGAACCATTGTTTATTACTCAATTTTCTATCACAGCAACCAAGATCAGATGTTTTGTCTTTTATCCCCCTGTGAAAACCTTATCTGGAGCAAGTTGAGTCACAGTGAGTTTACAGGTCTGCAGGACTCCCTCCTACATGGGTTTTTCAAGAATTTACAAATATGCTTTATTCAGCTCAGCCCTCTGTGACCCATCTCATTCCCATTCGCCACCTAAGTCACTTCTGCACAAGTAAGTCTGGATTTTGTTGCTTACTGTTTGTTTTGGAGACACAAGAAACCCATTTGTGTTTGAAAAGCTTAATTTAATTTCAAAGTAATTTTAAATAGGTCAGTTTAGTGCTGCTCTGGTTTTATTTTTTTTTTTTCTTCAGTTTCACTATATTGTCATTTTTACATTTTACTTGAACAATCCAAAAGGATTATATAGTGTGACATATTAAACTGTATACTAAAAGTGTTGTTGTCACAAGAACAGTTTGTGCAATGACTGGCAATTTGCTCTGTATCCATCTACGACTGCTGCAGAAGCCAGTGTGAGCGCTGACTGCTGCAACCAACCAAAAGTGTCCGTGCAGAGTGATGCAAGCAGTTGCTTATGGTCTGAGCTAGCTAAATCCAAGCCAGACTGGTCTGGGTATCAGGTAGCTGCATTAACCAAAAGCTCAGAGCTGTGTTGATAAATCCTGCGGAGAGCTGTTATGGTAAATGTGAACACAGTGTCACACCACTGCGGTTTCAGTTTTCAGAACAGAGCTGGCCTGCGTCCTGGTAGCTCAAAGTGTAAGAATAGGCAAGCAACTCTCCACACCTATCCATGCAGACGTAACCCCTGAGGTACGTATAAGGTGTCTTAATATTCCAGAGAGGGCATCAGTTCCCAAATGCTCCGTCTTAGAATCATCACAGACTGGTTTGGGCTGGAAGGGACCTTAAAGCCCCCCCCAGCTCCAGCCCCCCTGCCCCGGGCAGGGCCCCCTTCCCCCAGCCCAGGGGGCTCCCAGCCCCGTCCAACCTGGCCTTGAACCCTTCCAGGCAGGGGGCACCCACAGCTGCTCTGGGCACCCGGGGCCAGCACCTCACCCCCCGCACAGGGAAGGATTTCTGCCTTAGAGCTCACCTAAATCTGCCCTCTGGCAGTTTAAAGCCATTACCCCTTGTCCTACCACTGTCCTCCCTGATAAAGAGTCCCTCCCCAGCTTTCCTGTAGCCCCCTGTAAGTACTGGAAGGGCACTATAAGGTCTTCCCAAAGCCTTCTCGTCTCTAGGCTGAACACCCCCAACGGTCTCAGCCTGGCCTCCCAAGGAAGGTGCTCCAGCCCTTGATCATCTTTGTGGCCTCCTCTGGACCCACTCAAGCAGGTCCATGTCCTTCTTACACTGGGGGACCCACACCTGGACACAGCACTCCAGTGGGGGTCTCAGAAGACCTCCCGCGACCTGCTATCCACACTTCCCTTGATGCAGCCCTGGGTTGCCTGCAGCCCCTGCTGCAGCCCTTCTCTGGGTTCTCAATCCTCCCCCCTGTTCCTTCTGTTAGATGAAATTCCACCTCCATCCCGATGCGTGCCCAGACGTCTATACCTCCGTTTGGACAGGCAAGGCTGGCAGCTCTTGTGTTGCTGACAGGAGAGCAGCACCTGGAAGAAGAGCGACTGGTTCTTATTAAAAACAAACATATTCAAGAAAATTGACCACTTATTGAGGAACCTAAGCTCAGGCTTCCTGGGCCCTCCAACCTACCACAGCTCCTCATCCAAGGTAGCGCTTCAATTTTTGAATCTTTTTGCACTCTGGTGTGTAACAAAAGACTGGGATGTCTCACACTTAGCCATGTCTCAGTTTATGCGGACTGGGATTTGGAGGACACTAGACACAATTTTGCAGGACCGTAAGGCATGCTAGCCCAGTTAGGGTGAGCCAGCATTGGGAACTGCAGCTGATTCCTGAAGCCCTGACTGTCTCCTGCTTGCGGAACTGCCCAGCCCCACGCCGTTACCGACGGATCTTGCAGGAGCTGTCTCACTCAGCTGGTGCCACTTCGCTTTTTTCTGCCCTGACAGATCTGGTATCTCCTCTGAAGGGTGAAAGGGAGGAGACAACACTCATGAGCTTTGTACCTCAGCTCTGCAGACCCCTCTTTCCCCCAGAGCCTACAGCACAAAAAGGGCAGCACAGCACATTTTAAAAGAAGGTGGGGAGGTCACAAACAAACGTGGAAGCTGAGGGAACAGAGCCTTGGACAATCATACTAGTATAGTCTATAGACCTCAAGGCTAACCCTCACCTGTAAATATCTCTGGATTGCTTCTTGGGAGTCTTTACTTTCCAGTGTGAGAGAGGAGATAATAAGCACTTGAAGACATGTTAAAGTAATGTAAATCAGTCCACAGCAATAAAATACCAGGGAAGGTCTTTCCGAGCCTACAAAGCTGCACCATGAGAGTCTACCCTAGCTGTTGGTCTCATCTTTTTTTTTTTTTTTTTCTTCTTCTTCTTCTATTTTAACATGCAGAACCGAAAGAGATGGTTACCCACAGCAGCAAAAGGGAAGTTGGACAACAATGAAGAGCCATCATTTATACAATCCAACCCAGAAACAGAAATGAAAGAGACAGCAGAAGAGCAAAAAAGAGGAACTGCAAACCAGGGAGCCTGTACCCTGAATGCCAGTACTAATGATAACACAGGCCACCTGAAAGGACAGGAAAATCCAGACATCCACCTACTCATTCTTCTTATCATGTAGCACATGACTCAGTTAAGATGAAGGAAATATCTAGAGTTGTCTGAAGGGCAAAGAGAAGAAGCTAATCATCAAACTATTCAAGCTCCTCCAGAAAAGAGATTTTAAAAGGATGGAGAAGACGACACAGAAGCACATAAAGCAGGAAGAAACGGATGGAGTCACTTTCAAATTTTAAGGCGTTTAATAAAAATCTAGCATCAGAATTTCATCTTGCCTCATCCTGCAAGTTGATCTCCATGCACAGATGTCTCTGATTTCTGTCTTCTTCTCTGAGGAACAGAGATCCAGGCAGCAACCAGAATCCACAGCACCTGGTGTGCGCCCTCTTTGCATGCTTCATCTGTTGCACTGTTCATCCTGCGAATCAAAGTCATCAGCACCCCGCAAAAATGTCCTCCTATGCCATAGGGATGTCTGGGATCCACGTGCATTGGCAGGTAATCTTGGATTGAATAAACTCTGGCCAAGAATTTCAGATGGAGGTGTCTGTGGCTGGCCTTCTGAATCTGCATGGAGACAACTGGATAAACGATCAAGCATGCTGATCACTTTCAACCTGACATGAAAATCACTGATCTGAGTATTTACTAACATCTTCTCACCCAGACACGGATACCCTTTGGCACTGGCACATCATTGCAATGCTGCTGGACGTGCTCATCAGAAAAGATACACGTAGCTGAGTGTATCACCATTTTGGCAGAATCCTATTTAACTGAAAGAACAGATTTACGATGAAGTTTCAACACTCAGGAAGGCTTTAGGAACTTAAGGATGTAGTCTATGTATCTTCGGGCTGAACAGGGCATTTGGTAGGTCAGCACTCTGTTCAGGCCCATTCATTTTCCATTTCTCCCTCTACTCTTGTTTTTCTAATGCATCAGTGGATTACTTCTGCAGTCAAGGGTGGTTTTGCACTAGGTGCCTCCTCTTCCAGCAGAAAAATCAGAACACAGAATTTACAACACAATGAGAAGCATGATTCTGTGGGTACCACACTATGACACCATGTCAGCAGTCTTGGTTTTCTACTAGACGATCATGGACAGGAGTCCTGCGTGACAAACTTCCAACATTGCCGAATCAGTGTGGAGTATGGAGTGTAGTAAATATCACACACCTTGCTGCCACGCCAAAATACCTATCAGCTACAGCAGAAATTGTGCCAGGTGGCCAGGCAACGGGAGGAGGCAGTACTGCTGTGCTGGCAGCAAAAGGGGGCTGTGCTGTGGCACCCTCGGGCGACGGAGGTGGGAAGCCTGGGGCACAGCGGCCAGGCCCCGGCCGGAGGCACAGCCGGGCGGGAGCAGTCCCCTCCACCGACGGTGCCCGGCTGTGCGGGGCTCTGCAGCGGGATCGAGCCCTCTGTGCCGTGCCGCGCGACGCCCCAGCGCGTAACCCCGCACGGGGCCGGGCCCGAGGGTGCCGGCGGTGCCTTAGCTCACGTAACAGGGCTCTGTCGCCCAGCATGGAGAGCTCAAGCCCCTCTGCTGTAGCCGCACAACACCTCACAGGAGCGAGGGGCCGGGCCACGGGGGCGGCACAAAGCGGTGGTCAGAGGGGTGAGGCTGATGCTTACGGCGCGCTACGTTCCAGGTGTGTATCTGCAGGAACAGTTCACGTCGCAGTTTGCAAGAGCGGTACTATACCTGGCACTACCGCCAGCAAATTACGGCATCATTTCTTTTATTAGAAGAAACCGGTAAACCAAAATCACACAGCGGGTCACGGTTTTCATCATGGCAAAGCTGAAAGCAGGATCTCATCAGGCAAGCGTAATCAGAAGGTGATCACCCTTTTCTCCGAGAAAGTAACTTCTAGATCATTACATCTAGTTCATAAAATGTAAAATTCTTAAAGAAATGATATATATTTTTTTCTCAGTGGGTTAACAAAAATTGTATTTGGATTTTTGAATGAAATTTTGGATTTTTGAATGAAAAAATATATCGGATTTTAATTTAGACATGTGATGGAAGGAGCGATTAAGTGAACAGAAAATAGAAGCAAAAGAAATAATAAAAAAGCAAATTTACCACTGTTTATCCAGAAAGTAAAGTCACTAAGTAAAAAGTAACAAGAGTTCACTGAAAATAAATCTTGCAGACAATCTCGAACATTAAAACCCCAGTATATCGTATAAATTCTGTTTTCTTCATGCAATGCCATAAATAAAACGTTGGAAACAAAGTCCTCCAATGACTTGAAGCTGGCACGGAGAATGAAGCAGCGGGGGGGTGGAACCCTGAGCCACTTGTCCTCGCTGCAGGGTTGCCTTCAGCACACAGGTCCAGCCAAGTACCAGAGCTGCAAAGTATCGGTAAGTAAAAGACACCCCGCTGATCCAGAGGGTGGTAAACCCAGTTTTAGGGTGCTCACAAATGTAGCTGAGTGATGCAAAGCACCGAAGTGACGCAAACTCATTTTGGCAGCTCAAGCTTATTGAAACATTTCTGAAAGGACAACTTTTCCCTAGCAGACTCAGTGTTGGTATGTGAATCGTTTATCTGCAATCCATCATAACGCCATGGCAAATGAGGCAATTTAAGTAACAGCAGCAAGAATTATCTGGAAGAGGGGTTTTATAGAGAAAGGTTAAAAGAGCTTAATACATCGAGTTTTGTTAAAGCGGAGGTAGAGGGAGGCATGTCTCCAGCCAGCAAATGCTTAAGTAATGCAAACCTTAAGGATGGGGAGGAAATACTTGGGCTTATCCATATGGGAACAAGTAGGAGTAAATGAAAAGAGGGTGGGGAAAGACTGAATATCAGAAAATTTTGTTGGCAGTGAAGAGCAGAGCTTGTGCAAATTTTTCAGAGGAAGTGGTGGGAATTCTTTTAGTTATTTAAAAAAGAATTTGAAAAATACTAAGAAGCAAGTTACCAGGACTAAGTCTGTACTAGCAGGAAAGTCGATTGGATGATCCAATAGCCTCCTCTCCCCGCATTTCTGTCTTTGCTTGGTTTATTTTCAACCAACTGACTGTGTACAATATTTAGTAAAAGCAAAGAGAAAGTAACCTGGGGCACACTGACAACAGAAATCTCAATGCCAATTTAAGAGACTGTGTACTCCCCGCTACGAGTTCCTGTCCTCGCAGCAGCACCGGCAAAAGGGACCCCGCGAGCATTTCTCATTTGCTCAAGTGCAACGTCACCTGGACTCGATCCATGCCCCACAGAAGAGGTAACCCCCTGCAGGAGAGCCACGGTGGTTCCAACGCTTGGTTATGTTCCCGGAGCCTGACAGGTAACCTCTAACGAGTCCCAGCAGCTGAAGAGGTTACGGCCTCTCTCTGCTCTACCACCCTCCCAGCAGTTTCAGCCCCCATAGCCAAGGTGGAAGGACAAAGACCACACATCAGTATTTTAGCAGTTCTGGCGCCTCGCCCAGAAAAACCTTCTAAACCATCAATGAAGGGAACTTCCCCGACAGTTGGAAGCTGACACTTGGGTGTGCATAGGAGCAATATTTTAAGCTACCATAGGTCAGTAAACGTTGCAGTCTTTAAATACGCATCTTTCCACTGAAGGTTGGTAAGGCTGAGCGTAAGACCAACCATACCTCTTCTGGCACCAAATTTACTTGGCTTCAGCAATCACGCTAACACAGCTGACAATAGCTGCAGAATTCCGAGTGCAGCTCCCCATTTCACAGTCTTTCTGATGTCTCCTCCAGTAGAACAGGGCATTTCTTCACCTGATGAGTCAGCTGTTCAGTGTCTAGGTATTCAGGCAATTTCTGTTTACTAACCCAAGTGCATTTCCGTAAGAACTATATTCAATGTCTTGTCATAGTTTATTGTAAGAAGTGTTGCTTTTTTTTTAGTATAGGAATTATTTTTTAAAAAACTGGTCAATAGGCTCAAGCAATACTGCAATAACCAAATGTTAATATTTATATGCACTGCATGCATAAACCAAGCAACTTGAAAAGCCTCAAACATGTATGAAATAATATAACCCAGATTAATTCAGAAATAAATTAACAATGCTTTTTGCTTTATCATTTACAGACATTGAACCATATTGTATTGTTCTTTCCTGCACAGAAAACAGTGGGAGTTCTGGACAAAGATGAAAGGGAGAATATGTACTGCGAGCCATTTGTTTTCTACACATCTAATAGTATCTTTTGAAAAAGACAGTCTGTATACAGGACAATTAAAAATTGCCGATATTTTAGCGCTGTAAGGTTTAAGATTCATACATACCATAACGGTAGGACTCACAGTTGTTCTCTCATGCATATCATGGCTTTTTTTTTTCTTAATAACACAGTTGGCATTTCCATTTTTACTCTGAGGCAGATTTTGCTATCCTTACATCTTAGTTTCATTAGAGTTCCTGTTCATTCAGTGGGTAGGATGCTCTACAGCACGAATTTGAGCGAGAAAGTCTGGCTGCTCAGTTGTGCAACACGGGATTTGAAATATGGAAAACAGAAAATAGCTGACTTTTTTTTTTTCAGAAAAGCAATGTATGTACAGCAGAAACCTAGTTAAGAAAGTAAAATGAAAATCATACAGGGGCCACTGTAATAAAAAAGTGGCACTAACAGCTGTTTGCCTGAGTTCCTCACTCAGATTTGATTGTGTTCTTTGATATACATACCTATCCCCCACAGAAGTCAACCTATGGGCTTCTGCTCATGGCGGTGATTTGGGCTTCATAGTTATTGTGGTTTGGGTGGTTCTGAGACCTGTGAACAGTGACTCATGGTCCTAAGTCACTGATTCATGCATGTCCTTTTTTAGTGCAGTGGTCAAAGGATTGTAAAAGTTTGAAAGATTAGTAATTGCACACAGGTCTTTAACTTGATTCCTCACACGCCTTCTGGAAATGAACACTGTTGCTGGGGAAGGCTTCGACCCAATGTTTCTAACTTTCCATTTCTCCCATGAGAATAAACCTAGTTGGTGCTGTGGCCATAGTTCAAGAGTTTCCAGAATTTCAGGGTGTCTTTGGGGTGTTCTGACAATAAAGAACAGTGTATGTTATGATGGTGTAACAGCTGTAATAGATGTTACTATTTTTAGCTAAGCTGCGCATTAGTCAGTCCCGTAGAGACTCCGGATCTATTACACTGTCCAGATCTATTATGCCGTTGTGCCAGCTGAAATCCAACCGCGTGTCCAAGCACTTCAAACCCAATGTAACTCGTTGGTCACACAGTGAAATGAATGATTAAGGAACGGAGCGTGGGTGCATACCTTTTTTTACTCTAAAAAGCCACTTCTCCAGTGAACAGAGACTATTTGTGCTACAGATTTTCCCCTCCGCCGCTTTATGCGAGGTGACCGTGGCAGTCCCAGTCGCACACCCAGCGCGAGCCCCGGCTGCCGCCCACGTCCCTTAGCGGCACCCCAGATCCTTCACGCCCCCGCGAAACACCCCCACGCCCCTCTACAACGTTGCGCCCGCTTTCCAGGCACGCCGCCCCATCGCTGACACGGCGCGCCTTCTCCCCGACTGCAAGTTCACTTCGTGCACTTCGCAGAGGCCCCACGGCCACCCGTGTCCCTGAAACCCGTAGCGACAATTCTGTCTCTTCCCTCAAGAGCGGCAGACGCGTGGTATCCCGCCCGGCTCCACCCCGGGGCCCGGCACTGCGCCTCGCCGTCCTCTGGCGGGGCTGCCGCGCGGACGGGCCCGGCAGCGGATCCCCGCAGCGGGGAGGGCTGCCGACACCCCGCCCCCCCCGCGGCGCGGCGGGGAGATCAGGCACGGGAACAACACACCACACCCCCGCGACACCCGGCCCGGCCCGCCGGCCGCTGCCCCCGGGGCCGCCGCGCACCATCGAGAGCGGGCCGCCCACCGCCGCGGCTGGCCAGCGCGTCGCAGCCCTGCGCGGAGTCACCCTCCGGCCGCCATCTTGGGTGTGGGCAGTGAGAAGCCCCCCCCCCCGATGCCCTTCCCTAGGGGAACAGCAGCAGCGACACCCCGACCCGTCAAGAGGCGGGGAGAGGACGAAGGGGGCGGGGTGACCCCGCCGCGAACAGCCAGCACGTTCACAAGACCTAAAGTCGCATTTAAAAAAAAAAAACAACCAAAAAACCACAAAGCAACCGAACATCAAAACATAAACCGAAACAGCCCGCCCTCCAAACTCTCCGTCCCACACGGGAAGGGAGGGGCGGCTTGCCCCTACTTAAAATGGCAGCTGCTTCCGCCCTCGCCTGGTGACCCCGCCCCCTCAGCCAGGGGGCGGGGCGGCAGCAGGTAACGCGCACCCGTGTGCGTGTGCGCGCCCGCGGAATAGCCCCGCGGGCGCGCGTGCGCAGCGCCGGCTACCCCCCACCCCCACCCGTGACACACGCGTCAGGAGACGCAGCGCGCGGCGGGGCGCCCGCCCCCCTCCCCCCGGTCCCGCCCCGCCCCTTCCCCCGCCCCTCCCCGAGGCCCTCCGCGCGCGCGCCGCGGCCCGACCGGAGGCCCGGCGGACCCGCACCGGCTGCGGCAGCGCGATGACGGCGCGGCGGGAGGCGGCGGCGGCGCCCGGGTCCCGCGGCTCCCCCGGCTCCCCCGGCTCCCCCGGGGCCCCCGGGGCCCCCGGGGCCCCCTGCCTCCGCGCCGGCGGCGGGGCGGCTGCCTGGCGGGGCGCGGCGCTGCGCTTCGCCCTGGCGGTGCTGCTCCACACGGCGCGGGCCGAGAAGGAAGGTGAGACCCAGATTTCTCCTCCTTCCTTCTCCTTCTCCCTCCGCCTCTTCCTCCGGCGGCGGTTGCGGCGCGGGCGCGTAACGGGGGGGGGGGCGGCCGGTGGGGCTCCCGGCCTGGCAGCCCCTTTTCCGGCGGGTCCCGCTGCCCGCCGGGCGGGGAGTCGCTGGCGCTGTCCGCCGGGGTGGCTCCCCCGCCGGGGTGGCTGCCCCGCCGGGGTGGCTCCCCCGCCACGGCTGCAGGGGAGCGCCGTGGGTGTGCGGGGGGGAGAGTGTGTGTGTGTGGGGGGGGGGGGGGGGGGGGGGGGCTGATGAAGGGGGAGGCGCTGGCGTTGGGGCGAACTTGGTGGGGTTTCTCCTCCCTTGACGGCGGTGGGGATGGACCTGGAGCTGCCCTTTAAAAAGGAGAGAGGGG